GAGGGGCTAGCTCTTGAGACACTCACAGAGCCCAGCCCAGCAATTCTCAGAGTTTATGTTTACTGAGTTTCAATTGTTTGTCTAGGCTGCCATAGGGAGGGGCATCCTCTGTCTCTGTTTACCCAGTGAAGAAAGTCACTGGGTAAACAGTGGAGATTCCTCTGCCTGGGCGGGGTGACTTTCCCCTTGGTGGAGCTGAGCCTGACAGGTCAGGTCAGGTTCGTGAGACTTGCTAATGGCTCCAATTGTTTCCTTCCAAGGCCTGGGTTGGAGCTAGCTGCTCCACCTGGCCTTTGTCATTCAAAGATAGAGATCTTCTCCAGTGGTGTGGGAGGAGCTGCCTTCCCACCATTGCTCTGTGAGAAGGAGTGAGGATGTCAGGGTTCTACTCATGCCAGACTCTTTGTCCTGGGCTGTCGCTGGTCTGGGATCAGCAGGATGAAGATTTCTGCTCCTTGTCAGTTCTTGCTGGTGATGAGTAGAATCCGATTGTATACTGTGTCTGGTGCCTTTGTCCCGGACTTTCTCTGTTGGTATGGTGGCTGTCTCCTTGACCAAGCTGCCTGGCTTTTTCCTCTCTGGCCAAACTCTCTGTACTGTGGTGACACACTTGATGTAATTCTCTAGCTTAGGACTGTTCACTGGAACACTAAAACTGCTTTCTATGTGAGAGCTTGTTTAGCCTCCAGCTTCTCCTCTGCCATCTTCCTCCGGTCTCTCCCAGTTAAAAATCTTATACATAAGTCAAGACTTTAACCCATCTCCTATAATCAAAGCAGCTCACATACTCCAATGCACACCCACCCACTCAACTTTTATTCTTCTTACTTACAGAACACATTTTTGCTTCAGTATTTGTCTTATTATGGAGTGATCAAATGGTGTTTAAGAGCTTCAGTTGTGTTCTTGCCCACTTTGTGACTCCTTTCCTTTAAATTTGCTTCCTTACCATCCTGCTGCATTAACACACATACATGTGCATGCACTTGTAAAGACTCCCATCCAAGTGAAGATTTACCAACATCATTGGTAGTTTTCCCAACTGAATTCATCTTAATGATCAATAGTTGACATTTCTGAGGTTATTTCTAAGGGTCATCAAATAAATATTCATGACTTTCTGGGGTTTTTCTTTGTCTGTTTTTGTTTATTTGGTACTGATTAAGCCTTCACACTCATTTGGCTTGTGTGCTGTTTTTGCTCTACCACTTGAGTCATGACTCTAGCTTAGTTTGTTTTTCTAGTTAGTTGGAGATGGAGTTAATTTCCTAGTTTTTTGTTTGATTGGCTTTAAATCATGTTCCTTGGGACCTCAGCCTTCTGTCTACCTGGGTTGACAGATATGAGTCATAGATGCCTGGCTGGCTTTCTGTTTCAAAACCTATTTGATGAGGTAAATATGTGATTTGATATTAATTTAAAAGCTAAAAATGTCAGATGCATGTAAAAGTCAGCGTCGATCATACACTTCCCTTTTCTAAGACAACTTATTCTAGTTCCTTGTAAAATTGTATCCAAAAAAATCACTCAGAATTTGCTCTTTCATTTAATGAACAGTTTAACAATTCAAAAGTATAAAAAGGTTTGCAAAGTTGGTAATATTGCTAAATTATTGTTCATAACATTTTTATCGCATATTCTGAAAGTACTCTGATAGTTATATGAGCCTCCTGTTAATTATTTGAGTGGAAAGAACCAACATTCTGAGCTAAGCTCTTAGGTCACTTCTAAATGAATGTGATTTTTAAGGAAAATAATATTGCTTAGAATCATTAAAGTCAATGATTCTCATAAAGGAAGTGACCTACCAAACAGAGAAGTAGCATCATATCATAAAGATTTAATTAATGTAAGCTTTTAAAGGCCAACTCTTTTAATTTTTGTTATTTTTCATTTTTTTTGCTAAAGACTTAAGGACTTGAATCTTATAAAGTTGGTGAGATTCTTGTATCTGCCATTAGTTGCATGCTAATTGTAAGATATTACAGTGACATATTTATAGATACATATTTTTTCTTAAGGTCCTTTTTATGAATGTCTTAACAAGGCTGATTAAGCAGAAAGTAATTGCAAACATGTTTAGTAACTATTTTTGTTTAAATATTACAAAATTGCTTTGAATATTAGTCAACTATCAAGAAAAAAGTCAGAGCAAATTTATTTTAAACACATTACCCATACAGGTGGACCCATTGCAACAATGAAGATGTACAAGTTGTTATGTCGAAAATGAACTTTACAACATTGGCTGGGGGTGGGGTGGGGTGGGAAGGGGGCCGGGAAGGGGGAGATAGGAAGGGATGGGAAGGGGAAACAAAGGAGAAGGCAACAATGCTTGATAAGAAATATGCTCATTATCTTGCCCATGTAATTGTAAGCACAATAAAAAAATACGTAATGTAAAAAAAAAAACCATTACCCAACAAAATCATAAAGGAATCAGTAGATTCCTCCATTATGATAGCTGTTAAATTGTCTGGATCTCAGATTGTTGGTCCTATTATAAAAGTTACTTGTGTCTAATGTGAAAGTCTGATAAAACAGAAAAAAATAAAATTTAAAGATTGCATGCAATCCAGAGATAATTAACATTTATATTTATATATATTTGTTAATTTTATACATTTACATACATGTGTACATGGAAACCCATATAATCATAATACACTTATTTTACTATCCTACTACATATTTGTATTTATTTAATAATATATTATGTAAATGTTTTAATATGAAATATTGTTATAAAAGTTGTTTTTAACTTTATTATAAATAGTCCAGTATTTTAAACCTTTATTTAAAAATTTTACATCTACCTATATTTCCATGGTAGAAAAGGAAGTTTTTGGGTAAAAGAGGATGCAATTTTTTTTTAAATCTTGTTTCATTAACAAGTAACCTGTTAATGTTATTTTATTTATTAAAATCTGGAGTAACAAGTATTAATCGTATTTTAATATGCTTGCTTTTGATTACTAAAAATTAACTATCAAGACAATTATTAGCAGGCCTGAGGTCTCCTTTTATTTTTTTCCTTTATTTTTAAAATATTAGCTAGTTATGCAAAGGAGTTGCCTTTTTAAAAAGCAGTTTATAATATAACCTCTCTTGACTCATGCCATCCCTTTCAACATTCTTACCCAGCTCTCCTTTACCCACTTTTCTCATCACTCTTCTTAATTTTGTAAAACATAACTTAAATTCTTGACTGCATTCTCCCCTTCTCATCTTCATCTGAGGTTTTCTTCAATTCTGGATTTCACCAGTCATCCAGTTATTCTACGCATAATTCCAGGCATAATGAATTTTCTAAAACTTCATTGAGTGTTTCAGTATTTTTTTAAATATCTCATTCCTTTCTTATGAAGCACCTTTGTCTATAATGCCAGCTGTAATATGGGCAGTACCTAGAAGCTCACCTTCATTTTAGTAACAATTTCCACCCCCTGACAGAATCTTGAACATTATACAAATTTTACAAAGATGATGAACAACATAGCGATTCCCATTTTATCTAATCTCACTCCATTTATATAGTCAGCACCTAAACCTCTCTACATTTAAAAAAATGAGAACTTATTTCCCCTTGACAAATAGAAAATATAAGTTACAACCAGTTTAAAGCAAATTTCTACAGGCAAAGGAAACCCAAGGTAGGCAATGGGATAGAATAAAAGATTAATCATAGAGAATAGGGAAGATTTTAACACCCAATAATTCAGAACTAACTAAAGCAGGCATAATACTCTTATATTTTATGATCTAATAAATTTGAAGGGTATTATCACTTTCATCATATACTTTAAGTATAGAATTATTTGGTATGTTTTATAACAATAATCTAAAATGTATTTTAAAACTTATAATTGAGCCAAGTGCTAATGGGTCATACTTGTAATCCTAGCTACTAAAGAGACTGAGATTTGAGGCTAGCAATTCAAAGCCATTCCTAGCAGAAAAATCTATGGGCTTCATTTCTCCATTAAACTAGCAAAACCTAGAAGAGGAGGTATGGCTCAAGAGGTAGAGCACCAGCCCTGAGTGAAAAAGCCAGATAAGAGCATGAAGCCCTGAGTTCAATCTCTTGTATGGGCACACACACACACACACACACACACACACACACACACACCACAATCATATAAAAAATCTTTTCTCAGTGATTGCATGCTTGGACTACTATCTATGGCAAATTTAAATTTAAAGTACCTTTACAGACAGCCATGCTTGTGATCCTTGCTACTCAGGAGACTGAGATCTGAGGATAGCAGTCAAAGCCAGCCCAGTCAGGAAAAGTCCAATAGACTCTTATTTCCAACTAACTGTAAAATGTCAGAAATGGAGCTGTGGCTCAAGTGGCAGAGCACTAGCATTGATCACAAAAGCTCAGGGACAGCAATCAGGCCCTGAGTTAAAGCCCCAGACTGGGTATCTATATCTATATCTATATATCTATATATATAATATGCATGTATATATACATATATACATATATGCATATATATACACATATATATGCGTGCATATATGTACACACACATGTATATATATAGTTCTAGGAGACTTGAGAGACTTGAACTACTATTAAATATCTGAATAGGCTCATGTAAATAAGTACCTTCTCATTAATCTTCCAGCTTATTACAGTGAAATTCTTTATGACAACCTCAAGCTTTTGATGGATACTTAGAGAGAAAACCAGTGTGGTGTCTATCACTAAAAACTCACTGCACGGGTACAGACATGACAGTGGAAGGCATACTATAAAGTTGGAGAACAGGGAACAAAATAACAGAGATGACAGACAATGGCTGAGTAAAAGCGGGAGGGTTCAGAGCAAAGGGGAAGGATTCAATGGAGCTCTTGAAACACAAACTCACAGGTCATAAAGTCACCAGTCTTTCTATTAAAATGTAGGGGAAACTGGGGTAATGTTCGCCTTCATTTACATAGGATGTTTCCTCTGAAAAAGCTCAAAATTGTTTAGGGTCATATGAACGATGGCTATCACTTTAGATCATCTGGTCGACTTGAAGGGACAATCTGCATGCCAAAGGTACTGCAGAGAAGCTGGACAGACGGCCTCAAGTGGATATCATCTAATAAGCTTTTGAGAAGTGACACTTTCATTCTGTTTCCAGGGGCAGACTTCTGTAATGAGAAACAGGGGTAACCGATTACTCAGTGGCACCATTTGGTCCCAGAGAAGTACAGAGGAGCAAAGTTTCTAGAAATGCAGCCTTGTTGTGAACAGATTGTACCCAAGTGACACTAAAACTTTAAAACAAGAGGTATCTGACTGGAATGAATATCTGACTGGAATCAGGGGCAGTTGACAGTCCCTAAACTAACTCATTAGGCACGAACGGATCATCTGTCAGAGAGTAATGACTATCAGGACATGAGTTCTCATTTTAATCCTTGGTATTAATGTCCTTTCAGGAGGGGGGTTGCCAGTGGATTTCCATCTGCCACAAAGAAAACCAGCAAATGAATTCATTTCAAAAGGAGGGTAGAAAGTTGTCCCCAAACAGAAAGTGAAATGACAGCCGATAGAGAATAAGAGCTAGTGTGGAACTGAAGCCTTCTCTTATCAAAACTCTCTTATTAAACATAATGCACTTTTTTTTATTAATACGCTTTTTTTAATTGTGAAAATACCATACAGAGGGGTTACAATTACATGGGCAAGTTAATGAGTACATTTCTTATCAAGCATTGTTGCCTCCTCCTTTGTTTCCCCTTTCCATCCCTTCCCATCTTCCACCCCAAACTCCCC